GCAGTACACAGTGAGACAATTGATATTTTTACCTTCCTCACTAAAAGCTCAGTGCAAATGTGCCTATGCAAAGGAAACTGACCTGCACTGTTACTGGGAACTAGCTTCCCCTTCCCCAGCTAACACAACACCAGTGAAAGTGTGCTGCAGTCACTTGCTCTGAGAAGAAAATTCATAGCTGACATACTGCCTGCAATTCTTAGGCTGTCAATTCGGCCTTGCAAAGAAGGCCCATTACATGCAGCTTAATTGAGATAAGTGCATCGGTGCCTCAACTGCTCCGCTGTCAAAAAAAGAACAGAAAAAAACAAGCAAACAAACAAACAAAAAAAAACCCCAAACCCCGGAAATACATATTTTTTAAAATATAAAACCCTGCTTTTCTGTTCCACAATTACTTACTCCACAACTAACCAGCAGTACTTTCTCAGGAACACATTATGAAAAAATCTGCCAGAAAAACAGCTTGCTGGAAGAGAAGAAGAGTTACAGCTTTCCTTATTAAGAGCACTAAAAAATTGTGATGTATCACTAGAAAGGCTCTGAGTAAGTTTTTGTCTGGTTTTCCTACACTAGACAGCTTGAGATGAAAGGAAGAATTATGCTACACTTGAAGTTATTCATGAATAAATAATACAGATCACAGATTAGCCACGCTAGAGGAGTGGGGATAACAAACGCTGCATCCAAACTTTGAACAAATGAACACCTTTTCAACACAAAGTCAACTTATAGATATAACGCTGCTTCCAGATCCTCCAAAGACTTGAGGAGGATTTACTGGCAAGCACAGTAAAGGGGCGCTTCACTGCATCTCAAAATTCGTGTACTCCTCAGCTTGCACCTCTCATCTTCTGCCAGCTCAGACCTTGTGTTGGGAGGTGAAAGAAGGGCAGAAAGGCAGAGAACTATGAAACGAATGACTTAATCACAGACATTACCCCCCTCCATTGTTATACCATGGATATGATTTTCTTTTAAGCAGAAATAAGAAGGTTACAACAAAACTTTTCAAAACCACTATTTTTTTCTTTGCCTACAAATTATCAACCCCACAACCTTCTGCATCATCACAAAATCAAAATTTAAGACTGGACAAAACACCACTCCATTTCAAAAGCTGTAATTTTTTTCCCCCACTTTTCATGAAAAACTCTTTAGGATTAGCAAGAATTTCACTAATAAATCTAACTGCTCAGATTTTTTTTTAAGCATAAACAACATTATAGCACTAACCTGATCAGCATCAAACAACACACTTGAAACAGGTAAACCAACTCCCAAATAATTTATTTCAATAGAATGAAAATTTAACATAGAAGCCTTCACATTATTTTGGCAAAAAGCTACACTGTAACTCTACTGTTAACACTGAAACTTCACCCATAAAAGAGGCTTCCAAAGGCCCAGCATGAGCAAAGATTCCAAAGAATTTCTGCACCTAATTAAGTGACTGAATATTGCTTCACTCTCACAAATAACATCTTAGGCTTCACCAAAGGAACAAATAATAGAGCCAGAAACATTCCCTGTTGGAGCAGGCAACAGTACAACTTATTTCAGCAAACTTCACATGAGCTTTCTCTCAGCAAACAACAGACTAGTTACAGATCAAATACGAGTTTTACCTTATTAGCATTATTATCTAAATTATAAACCTCTGCAGCTGCTTTGACTCATCTAGCTGTGACATAGGATACATATAACAGCTGTAAACACCACTGCATTTCAACAGATTCCCAACCACTATCAAGAGAGACGTCCAAAAAGAAAAAAAGGAAAAGACAAAACAAAACCTACATACAGAAAAAAAAAAAAAAAAAAAAAACAAAACTTAAAGAGGGATGGCTACTGAGCACTCTGTAGCCTTCCAGCTTCCTATGGGACAGAGCTGGACAGCATCTGGAAGAGCCACTGTTGAAGAGCCCACTGGCCTGCACTAGCCCTTTCGCTGTCATTTACAAATAAGCAGTTAGTGTTTACCACTCAATTCTTTTGGCAGTGACGACCTCAGATGCTTCAGAAGTTCCATATAACAATCTCCCTTTCACCGCAGCTTTGACCTATCCTACCACAATACTATTTTTAACTTCACACAGCAAAGTATTTTATTTCAGTATTTTTTATTCCTGTAGCAACAGGCTACTACTCTGCTCTAGATGGATGAACAACACTCCCCTTTGCAGTCTCATTTTCAGAGGGATTCCAGGTATTTATTCAAGGATGTTCCCTCTAGAACTGCAGTAATGCATTCTGTTCCACTGAATTATCTGTTCCTCCAAGGACACAGCATTTGACACCTTATGCAAGCATGTGCGTATATCAGCACACACCCCTTGCAACCTGTCTCAACCTTGGAATACAGGAATAGTTATGAATATATAGGAGATACAGAAAAAGAACCATCAGTGGGAAAAAAAAAAAAAAAAGAAGAACAATCAGCCCATGTACATAAATCACATTTTAATAAGATCAAACTTACCAGAAAAGAAAAAAAAAATTAAAAAGACAATGCCTAGGAAGCATGTGTAAAGGCTGTTAATTGTGTTCAAGCATTAAGAATGAGGTGCTCTGCGTTTGTTAGGGCAGCAGGATGTGCTCATGGCTGAACCAACAGTGCGGAGACAACCAGGCAACAACTCAAGCTCTGCGATGGCTGCTGAAGGCCTTGTGCTGCCACGAAAGCAGGATTCTCACAAATAGCTTGCCATCTCCTAGAAACACTGAACGCACCTGTCCATCACTGTCTGCATCTTCCTGTAAAGCTCTCCGAAGAGCAAAGGCTCTTCCACCTATACAAAGAAATTATAAACAGTGTCCACTGGCACGCGAGGCATTCCTGATAAAATTTACATGTTATGCCATAATTCACTACTGTTTAATGTTTAAAAAAATTAACTCCAAAACTGTCAAAGCTAAGTTATCAATGCAGTTAGCGGCGACTTTTGTGAAGTAACTGTTTTTAGGAAAATGCATTCTTACCAAAGTACAGTCTTGTAACTTTTATTCTATTCCAACACAATGAAGTAATTCAGCATACAGTCAAACAAGAACATTGACAACTGCAGATTCACTGGCTTTTAGTTGAGATTAAAGCTCACAAACCTGCTTTTGCCTGTCTCTTACATTTTGTGCAGTTTCACAGTTGTTCTTTATAGACCTTTTATTACTTTTCTCTACTTGCTGTCATGAGAAAGCCTCAAACAAATGTCAACGGGGATCAATTCTACTGGAAGTAAAAACTTCATAAAAAGCATTCCCAACTGCATAAAATAAATTTATTTTGCTCACTAGAACAACAGAAAACCCCAAATCTTCAAAAATTTATCTAGTTTTAAATTTAAAAAACCCTGAAGATAAAGAGCTTTACTTCTATAAAAGACAGAGGTACAAAAAGACACAGAAGTAAAACACAGGCTCTAGTGATTCGTGCCTAACCAGCCTCAGAAACTGCGTGCTAGTTGGTGCACATAAGCCCCCCACCCTACAGATGACATTATCATTCTCATCATTCTTCTTGTCTGACATTTCAACTGCAAAATCTCAAGGGAGTCACGAATACCCATGCCACTGCAATCAATTCCCTTTTTTGTACACAGAAACACTGCATTACCTGTAGCATGCACCATCACCACTTATACTAAAAGTCAGATGATTTAGCAGTGCATTTTTCAGGCCCAGTATGAATTACTAACTTCTGATATACAAGGAAACACTCGTGCTGTATATTCTTTCTAAGCAGACAGAATACTCCCTAGTTTGAAATCTTTACAGCCCAGAACCCACGGATTCAGCAGATTTACCACACATATGAGGAAAAAAAGGGCTGGAAATTCACCTAGTCTAACCCATCTTTCTCAGAGCAAGTCCTCCTATCCTGACTTGACTCAACAAGCCCAACTCTTCCCTGCAACTATTCAGGCGAGTTAGAAGAGCAACACACATAGGCACATCTTCAGGATTAGTAGGAAGAAGCACACATCTCTGTGAGTATCTGCTGACTTTACTGTGATGCCATGGCAAGGTCCGTCTGGGAAAAATGGGATTAGAAGAATGTGGACTGAAGTACGTGGACTGAGAAAGAAATAAAGCATGTTATTGCAACAGATATATACACAGACAGAACCCCAACAACAAAATTACCGTTATTTAGGAAAACTACTTCCTAATCTACACAACATCAACCAGTCAAGTTATTCTAGATGCAACCCACTGCCAAGGAACACATTGCTTGGCAGTTTCCTCCTGTTATTTTCTGCTTGTGAACGGCTTCATGATACTTCCACCCAAATCAGTCTTCTTTAGTTTACTTGCAACACCAACAGAGAATTAAGCAGGTCACTTAATTAAGCACACATGACAGTTAGTAACTAAAATAAAGGCATCACAACAAAGGTGTGCTTCACCACACAGCATATCAAACTGTTTTCCCTGATAAGGCTTTGCACAGTGTGCACGTCCTTTGTATTGATTATCACTTCATAACGATAAGTCAGTATGAAGCTGACCACCACATCCATAGAAATATGCTTTGCTGTTCACACAACCACGACAAACAAGGGTATCATAAACTCAGTGAAACACGGAGTTACATAAAAACCTAAAACCTATTTCCTCATTTTGACCCGCTTAGGATTCGAGGCCCGTTTTTATCGTGTCTGTCTCCATCAACTTTCCGGCCTTTTTCTCACGCATTAGCCTCAGAAGCGTTTTCAGAAAGGGCTGCCGAGCGTCCCGAAGCCCTGCGGGCACAAGGCGTTACACAGCCCAGACTCCCACGTCCCAGCGGCGGGCGAGCAGCAGTAGCACAGCCACCGCAAGGCTGCCCGGGCCTCACGGCAGCCGCGTCCCACCTGCAGGCACCCCAACCCTGGCCTCCAGAGCCCCCCCCGACCCACCCGCGCCCCGGCCCAGCCAACACACGGCAGATCCCCCCTCCCCCACACACGCTCCCCGTCACCGGCGTCCCCTCTCCCCGGACCCCCCCGCACGGTCCGCACCTCGCGGTCCTTGAGGCCCAGGAGCAGCACCTCCTCCATCAGGGTCAGCCGCGTTTCCTTGGAGTCTCCCTTCTCGTCGTCTCCCGGCTCTTCCCGACGGCCTTCGTCCTCCGGGCCGCCCCCGGCCCCCCTCTCCTTGTCGGCGGCGGCGCTGCGGGACGCCTCGGTGCGGCGCTGCACCAGGCCGGAGCTGCGCTGCGTGAGGGACGTCATGGCTGCGGGCGGCGGGAGGGCAGCGGCCGGGCCGGGCGTTTGGGAGGTTTGGGGGGTGGGGAGGAGGAGGAAGAGGAGGAGGAGAAGAAGAAGGAGGAGGCGGCGGCGGGGGACTCGGCGACAACTCGGGAGCGCGGAGACGGAGTAGCGGAAGCCGCTCCCACTCGGCCCTACCCGCACCGCGGCTGCGGCCGGCCGGGGGCGGTCATGGGGAGTGGGGCCGGGCCGCGGAGGCGGAGGCAGCGGGGGCCGAGCTGGCGGAGGCGGCTTCGCGTGCAATATGGCGGCGCGGGCTGATGTCAGCGGAGGATGTGGCAGCGGCGGGAGGGGGGGGCGCCGGAAAAGGCCGCGGGCGGGAGGAGCCCCGGGGGGACGGGAGGAGACGACGGCGGCGGGAGGGGCGCTGTGCTGCGCTGCGATCCGCCCCGCGGAGCGCCACCATCAGCGGGGCGGGGAGCGGCCGGCCGGCGGCGGAGCTGAGCGCAGCTGGAGCCGCGTGGCGGCTTTGGCGGCCTTTCCGGCTTTGGGCTATAGCAAGTTGCGTCCAACGGGCGTTTGCGTAAATAAAAGGTGCCTCGGTATCTCCACAAGACCTGTTCTGCGGAAATGCCTTCGCTGAATAGTGGAATCTCTGTTAATTCGGTCCTCCATAAGCTGCGACTGTTTGCTCAGCGCTGCCATCAGGGTGACGGGCTTGCAGTCGTTGCAACAAAGCAGCGCCGTCCTCTCCTCCCGCGTGGACGCAGTGCGCTGTTGGGGCTGTTAAGATCATTTCCATTTTGATACCGCTGTTTAACTACGTTCTTTTCTCCCCTAATTCCATTTTAGACGTTAACCGATGGAAGGCTCATTAACAGCTCCTGGTTATTCACGTCATTTCTTTTGTCATTCTTTTTTGAGTCCTGTTCTGGGCAGCCACAAAGGACTCGTCGTTGGTCTTTGTTTTGTTTTTCAGTTTTGTGAAAATTGATTTTAAAAGCAGTTGCTGACCATGTTGCTAATTGCCAGCTTTTCTGTTTCGTATGACAAAAGTGACCAAATGAGTGTAACTTGTAGGTCTATAAGGGTGTTAAAGTTTGTTGGTCAGTTTCACGTCTGTTAGAGTGAGACGTACTATGAAATCACATTTGACAGAGTCACTTTTCTGCCTTTACATGCTCGGATGTTTGCATGAATTTAATGGTGTAACTTCAAAGAAATATATTTTTGTTATTAATTTCAATTCCAATTCCTTATCATTGAACTGAACTAATAATCTCAGTATGAATCAATGCTTATAATCGAATTTTGATCCGGTCTTTTATTACTGTTTCTTTGGTTTTTCTATACCAGATCACTGCCAATAGACAAAACCAAAGGCGGGCAAACAAGACACATTTCAGCATCCAATTTCACTAGTGTTAAAGCCCCGAATAGTACCAAGAACTGCTGTTTCAGCGGGGGACCACGCAGCTTGTTGGATCTTCTTCACCTGGCAGATCCCAGTGTGCCACATAACAACCTTCTCTGCAATCTGTACCAGAACATATTTCAAAAATACTGATGAGTCCAATGTGGTTGTGTCAGGAGCCCAGGAGGCTGTATCCCTAGCCCTTGTGTAATGTGAGCATCCCATCACATGGGCTGTCACCTGGCACGTCCCAACTCCAGAGGCACCTGGCTGCAGAGCTGAAGGGCTACATTTTTTAATTGTTCTGTTAAGAAGAAATAATGCAAATGCAGGGGCTCTCATCTATAAATAGTTTCTGTTTGGCTTGCAGTAAACTCATAGCGCATCCCTGTTTGTTCCTAAGCCAATATCTGGCAGAATTTCTCTTAACAGCTGCTGACGAGCTGAAGTTATCCTAGCCAGGTGTAGGAGACTTCAAAAACACTTGGATTTTCTGAACTGCTGCCAGCCCTTTGGGTAGCAGAAATAAAAGGGAAAATAGCAAAGCATGAATCTTAGACTCGCTTTGTGTTGCACTGATTGCAGTTTCCATGATTCACTTTGCAGTGGGAGTAGGGCTTATTCTGATATCAGCAGAAAAGACAATTAACAAACCAAGTGCAAATGTCTTGGCATAGCAGGTAAGACAAAGAGTAACAATATTTAACAAGCAGGAGGTCAACTGCTATTCATTCTTCAAAATTTGTTCTAGCTTAAATGTCCCGAGCTTGGCATGTAGTTAGTCAGTACTGGAAGTTCTAAACCATGATATGCTCCAAAACTTTGGCCTTTGTAGGTAAATGTAGGTTCCACTGTTATAATAGCAAGATACTGCTGGGCTGATTTTTCTTTTGAAGGACAATCAGGTTAATAACTTGTGCACATTTTGAGGTTAATGTCAAGAATACAGAAGTTATTTTCTAACAGAAGCAGCATCTAGAAGGCTGCTCACCCTAGTATTGCTTCCCCATCAGTGTTTTGCCAGTCGAGCTCGTTCACATTCCGATCCATGTCTTCCATTCCCTTACAATGAAGGTCTGCCTCTCCACCCATTGTAACTGGTGTCATGTGGAGATGCTGCTGGAATCACTGAAAGGATCTGCTGTGACACACACAAAAGGTATTAACCATTAATCATTTCTGGAATCTGGTGATTAGGAAGCTGCACAAATTGGCACCGTATCGTGACCGAAGGAGCTCTACACTCTCTTACAACATGGAAACCAGTGGCCAGGAACAAAGGAACACAGGGATTTCCTAAGGCCAAACCATCCTTAAAACTGTACTGATTACAGATATGTGTTTAAGTAAATTCTGCAGTGAGCATTAATAATCAAAAGCGGTTTGAAAGAACAAAATATCTTGAGGTTTGTTCTATCCAGCAAGATCTCCGACAGCAAGATTTTGACCTGCAGTAGGAACAAAGGCATAGAAGGACAACAGGAGAGGGAGCCAGCGATTTTGACTTGACTTGCAAGAGAAGTGAGCAGACCAACATGTGGCATTTGAGGTGGGAAGAAACTAGAGTCTATGGCCAAAAGTCTGTAAAAAACATGTTTAGAATGCAGTGGCTGCACACTGCTCTGTAGTGTTTTCTCTCTTGCAGTTTCAGCTGTACCTGTTTCACTTGTACCGTTGTCCTGGTACCAAATAAAACCTTCACTAGCCATTGTAGACCAACTGGCATTTTCTTCTTGGTTTTATCAATGAACTTCCCAACACTAGTAGCATAGCAGCAAATTTTGCTAAGTAAGCTCCAAGTGTTACATTTCTTTTTGTCCATACAACAAGCCCATGCTCTGACAGCAATTGGCACTCAGTAGTCAGATATCATTTAAACTACCACTTCACAAAGCTGAAATTTGGCAGTATATCTTTTCAAATAAGCTTCTCTTTAATTCTCTTCCTTGGCAGATTTAGGAATGATATTGTCTCAAAAATATGAAGAATTACTCCATGTTTGACATAGACTGGATCAGGTTATGATGAACTCACAAATTACATCCAGTGGCATAGTGCCAGGCATTAATACCTAGCTCATATAAAATCTGGCGTAGCCACTAAGTCAGTAAAATGATTCATCTTAGATTCACAGTGCTTTGAATTAAAAATTTAGTAATGCCTTTAATATTTTTAAAAACAAAACCAATAGTCTTTTTTCTTGCAGGCTGATTGACAGATGATTTGTGAGACCAAAGGCAGACGCAGAAAGGCGTTAACTTTCCCAAAAGATCTCTTCGTTTCATGTATTTCTAGGTCCTCTCATTTTCTCCTCACCTGTGGAGTTCAGACAATTGCTAATTCCTGAAATCTTTGCATTTTAACGGCATCTTCTCCCTGTGTGTGAGCAGTGCTGCTCAGTAGCAAGAATCTGTACTAATTATTTTAATACTGCAATTATAGTACTGAAATAATGAAGACAAAGCATCTGTGAAAGTGCAGTTTGTAAGGAATATGTGTTTTCATTTCTACACAGTGATTCAATCCAACTGTTATCACTAGGAAAAATGTGTAGCTATCTTAGCAAGTTCAGTGAGAAAAATAGGGCGGAAATTTTGTGAAACCAACACCACAATGGTCATTGGGATCCTGGCAAAATTTAAAGCACTTAACCCAATGGCTTGTATATAAAATCAGTTTTGAAAAAGCTTTGTTTCCCTTCCCATGTAACAAATCAGTAACTATCTGTTCTCTCTAGGGTGTGTAAATACTTATCAACTCGTTGAAAAATACATAAAGCCAGATGGTGCACAGAAAATGTTTCCATGGAGTTGTAATTTAAAAGCCTCTGTGCAGAGAGGTGAAGGAGAGGAAGGGAGTTGGGTTGTTCCTGAGGGCTCAGCCAAGCACATCACACGGTCTGTTCCACACCTGCTTTGTGCAGGATGGTTTCACTCCTGACAGCAGCCAGGCTGTGATCACAGCACACAGAGGGTTTTGAAGTAGCACCAGTGGTAGTACTTCCAGTAATGCCATCTACCAAAGCATGCGATAGGCGTTCATTGGTGGAAGACGCAGACATCTCTGGGTTATGCTTCTCCCTGACTCATTCAGGACTCAAAACAGAGTGGAAGCGCATCTGATTAGCTGGATTTGTTATGCTGAAAGTTGACTCTGAAAACACAAAGTCTCGTGCTAGTCAAGCATTATGGAGCACTCTATCGCACCTTCTCGCTGTGGATGTGCTTGATCTGCACTGAGGGGAGGAGTGCAGCAGCACAGCACACCGCCAGGCACTGACAGCTTTTTCCATTTTGACCTGAATTTGAAGTGCCTCCCTCGACTGTGAAGGAGAAGGCTGAGAAAATCACCTGCAAATGTTTTCCCACAGGGTTAATGCGAGCCAAATGTGGATTGATTTTCTTTGGGTAAATCCTGCACTGGATTATGTCTGTGCAACACCATCTATCTTCAGTGTCATAACATTTTCACTGGATCATTTCTGTGCAATGGCTTTTAAAAAGAGCTTCTCACCAGCTAACACTTTACCATCAATGCAAACCCTGATTAATATATTTGATACTAAAAAGCTGCTGTCTCTACAAATCTCTTCATAAGGGATTTGCAAGAAATTTTTGAATGAAATCAACTCTACAGACCACATCTTTAGCTTAAACTAAAGTAATCATTCAAAATGGTGGGACAGAGACAACTCTATTGTGCCGCTACCTGCATAATATTGATTGAAGAGCAGCAGATGCATAAGAACTTCTGCTGTGCGCTTGTGCAGTACTGGGCACAAGACAACCTGCACATGGCTAAATAAGATGATGTATAATATTCAAGCATGAGTCTTTAGAGAGTGTGATAACAATGTCTCCATTTTAAAAATATTAGTATTTTTAGCAATCACCATGGATTCAAACAGA